CCTCAGCCCACTCCTCTGCCTACCGGTCACTCGCTCTCAGCTCTGCCTTCGGATGAGTCCGTAGAGCCGAGTGGCCCGTATCCAGAGCTTGTGGGTTGCCTCATGTACCTGATGACCTGCACTCGACCAGACCTTGCATACCCTCTCAGCATTCTTGCACGCTATGTCGCTCCCGGCCGTCACCGGAAGGAGCACATGGATGCAGCTAAGAGGGTGTTGCGCTACTTGTGCAGTACGTCGGGCATGGGGCTAGTGCTTGGAGGGCGAGTCCCAGTTGTTCTCACTGGGCACTCAGACGCTTCTTGGGCAGACGACCAGGCTACTCAGCGGTCGTCTCAGGGTTACTCCTTCAGTCTTGGCTCTGGTTCTGTTTCTTGGCGTTCTACTCGCTCTTCTTCTGTTCTCAGCTCCAGTTGTGAGGCTGAGATCTACGCCACAGCCATGGCGGCCCAGGAGCTACGCTGGCTCACCTACTTGCTGACCGACCTTGGAGAGCAGCCTCGTTCTCCTCCAGTGCTGTACGTCGACAACAAGGCAGCCATTGCCTTGTGTGAGGAGCACAGACTGGAGCACAGAACGAAGCACATTGCTCTGCGTTACTTCCTCGCTCGAGAGCTGCAGCAGCGTGGTCAGCTTCGCCTGCGTTACGTGGCCTCTGAGGCCAACACTGCTGATGTGTTCACCAAGGCGCTTCAGCCTTGTGACCATCAGCGCTTTTGCACTCTTCTAGGCCTTGTGCCTACTGGACCTCACTTGCTTACTTCTTGAGTCTGTTGTACTGTGATCTCTATATATAAACCTGCATGTGAACTGGTCTTGTGACCACTTGCTTGTGCTCGGAATTTGTGTGGTATCCTTGAGATCCACCCTGAGCTTGTTTTGCCTTGCTTTGCCTTGACTGGTCTTGTGACCCCTAGTTCTCTCCCACTTTGCCTATGGGGGTGTGTCAAACATTATATATGTTGTGTTAGTTTAGGCTACAGTGGGTTAGCCTATAGGGGGTACACAATTCTAGGGTTAGGTACTTGTACTCTTTTCATTGCTAGTTCATTCATTCCTGTTCAGTGATTCCAACAGTAGAGTGGCATCAGGAATTGGGAGGACATGATTTGTGCATGTACGAAGAGGGGCAAAGGGGACTGCTACATATCGTGACGCCCTGCATACTATGCAGGTGATTGGGTACGGACCTTTCCATGCCATCGAGAAGCAGCTGCAGCACAGTGGTGACGCATCGCTGGAAGAGCATCACCTTCTCCACGGCAGACATTGCAGAAGGGGGGATAGGAAGGAGGGCAAGTAGCGTGTGGCCGACTTTCCCCCATCGTTTGGCCTGGGAGATGTTGGCAAGCGTCATCATGAGCGGCCACGCCTTCTTCCGGCCGTTGTTGCTCATGTGCGTCACATCCGAATATAGGATGATTCCCCCCACGACTTGGGTCCATCCTAAGTGTTCCTGCAATGCACGACAAGGCGGCAACGGACACACGGTCAAACACCACCAAGGTAACTGGTCGCCAGGTGGGTTAAACGACCTTCATAGCATGTTCATCGAACATGACACACTCATCATGCACCAGACACATCAGCGCAGCAACGGAGGCATGAGCACGGATCCGGTTTTGGGTGGCAACGGGGTATATCCATACCTGAGCATCATTCCACCACGTTCCTGTTTCCGGCGTGGTATAGCAACGGTCGCGTGTGTCAGGGTCCTCATCGACCCGCGCCTTGAGCTTGAAGCCGGGCGCGTTGTTGGTATGCCCAAATAGTTCAGCGAATGCCTGGTTTACGGTGGCGAAGGCAGTAGAGAAGAGGGGCATGGTTAGATGCGTTGATTGGTGGGTCCGATCTCATACAAGGAGAACGAATATAACTTCATATTGCCACATCAGCATTTCAAGGTTGCCACATCTGCATTTTACTGCCAAGGATTCAGAGTCGGCTTACCTGAGCTAAGTTTTGGAATAGCAGGCGCTGAGGCGGATGACCGTCAATCTCGAATGTCGCCACCGACCATCCGCGATTGAGCCCTGCCAAGCGCTCCATCTCAAACCGCTCCAGATCCTTGCAGTTCCGGAGCTCCGAGGTCACAAGAGGCGCAATGCCGGGCTCTACCACGAGCTGAAGCAAGCCATTGATGTCAACCTCTGCCATTCCCATTCCGCCATTCACGCGCCGAACGAAACGAAGCAGCTTCAACGCGAGCGGATTGAGGGGCATGGCATCGCTCTGTCCGGAGATGGTTGTAGGCGGCGAGGCTTGACTCCCTTCAGGCTGGCTCTCCGGATGCTCACTCGTGTCAGCTGCAGGTGTTCCTGGTGGCGGTTGATGTTCATCTTCTGAAGCTGACGAGGGTGTTTCGTCCTCGTCAGCTTCAGGCACGCGAGGAGGACCGCTCACACTGACGGTGTTGGATGCGTTAGATGCGGTAGGTGAAGCGGGAGCAGCGGGAGCGTCCGAGAGAATGTCGTGACAAGGGGTCCGCCGTGACTTATGACCGCCATAAACTTGGGCGTTGGGGAACCATCTATTGCAGAACTCGTAGACAACGCCTGGCAAAGAGCCCATGTGTTACGGATCCGTCTAAGAGTGGAGAAATGGCCTATGAAGCAACTAGCCTGTTTGAAGTTTGTGAACGCATCAAATACACCGTCAACGAAGGCTGTGACTGCAACACGGTCATAGCCAAAGCGCGAACTCTCCATGGCGGCTTGTATCTCTGCACGACTGGCACTTGAGCGTGGCACGATGGTTAGGGACTGGCTAACGATGGTCGAGCAGCGCGGCCGTGAAAAGGAACGATACAGACCGCCAACAGCACGGCATTTCCCTTTCCTACAAGGCGTGTCGCCCCCTCTTAGAGCGACCACGACGTGAGCAGGGCCATATGCACTGGAGTTTAGCACGCTTGGTCGTGAGTGTGCGTCGCGAGCACAGTGAGAAGTACGTGCCTCTTGATTCAAAACTTGGGTTTTTGAATCGTGCGTGAGAGTCGAGGGGAATGAGGAAGAGAGGGACGAGATCCGTTTGGTGCTGTGATTCTTTCTCGAGTAGCTATAGGGGGGAAATCGCAATCACGTAGGTGAGCCCAAAGTGGTGCGCACCTCTCGAGACTTAATCCAAACCAGGTAATGACAATGTACAGTTACATTTTACATTGACACTCGATTCAATTATAATTAATATTATACAAACATACTCATGGGCCTGCAAAAAACAGCCCCTAATTGACAACGGTAGTGTTTGTAAACCCTCCTAGTTCTCTAGTGTGGTATGGAAACATACGGGTATTACCCATGAACTCAGTGTGTTTCCGTAAGATTGTTGCATGTACCGAATATGTATATCGTCACTTCACAAGAGGTTTTGGGGACCTCAAAGCACCGTGCTGCATTAACATGCAAGAATGGAGCCCAATCTAATACAATAATACAACGGTTTCGTCGTCGGATGCAATACCACAACAGTTTCACCATGACATGCAACACATGGGAGTGAACGATGCAGCGTCGCCCTGTATAAGCATGGCTATCGATAACGCATCACTGCTTATGCGTTAGCCCTCTGCTTCATACCACTCCCTTTATGCACCTTGTATAAGGTCCATGCAAGTATTGAGCACAATCCAACACCATACCACAACGGTTTCACCATGTCGCGCAAAACATGGGCCTGAACGATGCAGCGTCGCCCGGTCTAAACATGGCTGTCCATAATGCATCACCGCTTGCGCGTTAGCCCTGTGCTTCAAACCAAACCCTTTATGCACCTTTTACAAGGTCCATGCAAGAATTGAGCCCAATCCAACACCATACCACAACGGTTTCACCATGTCGCGCAAAACATGGGCCTGAACGATGCAGCGTCGCCCTGTCTAAACATGGCTGTCGATAATGCATCACCGCTTGCACGTTAGCCCTGTGCTAAAAACCAAACCCTTAATGCACCTTTTACAAGTTCCATGCAAGAATTGAGCCCAATCCAACACCATACCACAACGGTTTCACCATGTCGCGCAAAACATGGGCCTGAACGATGCAGCGTCGCCCTGTCTAAACATGGCTGTCGATAATGCATCACCGCTTGCGCGTTAGCCCTGTGCTTCAAACCAAACCCTTTATGCACCTTTTATAAGGTCCATGCAAGAATTGAGCCCAATCCAACACCATACCACAACTGTTTCTCGTTTGGCACTAGTGATCGTCGTGTTAGATTTCGTACAGCGACGAGTAACCGTTGTGGCATAGCCTAATAGTGCTCAGTTACATTGTATGAAGTAATAATTCTGGACGCTCTTTGTGTGTGTGACATGATACAAACCCACTACCTTACCACAACCCCAGACTATTACATTAGCAACCATTTTTTTTTAATTGTATTTGTTGTAGTTTTAAATGTTTAGGGTGCTCGTATGTGCAACATTGTTCGTTCGTGACATCACTGTACTTTGCAGGGTTGAGGTTGCTTTCGCTCGATTGGTTCAAAAACAGTTCTAGCATGACAAGTCATTTATGCGTTGGCGACACTGATTGGCCGACGCATCTCAAACGACCCCTTCCCGCAACACAAGCACCCGCCAAGCGGTACTTCCGCCATTGAGCGGCTGTGATCGAGCGGTGGGTGGGTTTATGATCGGGTGGCTACACGTACGCCGTCCGATCTAGCCTGATCTGATTACAGTAATCTCTCTAGTAGCGCAAGCCACCCCAACCACCCTCGTGCCCCACCCACCTGCTTCCGTCACCCTCTGGCCCACAACTTTGACGCTGCTCGCTATTTGACACAGGCGTTTCTAGATCGCCCGTGACTCACCAGTCGACTAAGTCATGGGCCGTAGCTCCAACTGACTCCTATTTCAGTATTGATTGAAGCGGAGGTTTTCGGAGAGAGATGACAGAATAGACTGTCGACTCTCCCTTCGTTACATTCATTTGCGGTCCCCTTCAAAACCGGCTCCACCGTTATGCCTTGTAGAAATTCGCATTCGTAAAACAACCATGACACGTGCAACACGGCAAAAAGAAAAGGAGGAGGAACAGGCCGGACGTCGCGCGACAAGGAGGCTGTCTCAACAGACCGATAGGGAGGGTGGTGGCGGCTCTAAAGGTACTAATGCGTCCGCCGCGCGTGGCAGATGGCTGAAAATATTGGCGGGAAAAAAGGCCGCGTTTGGACAGGAGAAGTCCGGCAAGAAGGCGGAAGAGAAGGAGAAGACTGCTACTACTGCCATAGGGAGCGTGAGTCTTGCAGTCCCGTCGGCGAAGAGAGAGGGGTCGGCGATAGGGGGAAACCACGGCGAATCTCCCCGCGCCGAGCATGGCGCAACCCAGGAGTCCGAGGCAGAGGCATCCCAACACGGATTGACGCTGCTCCAGCCGACCGTGGTCGAAATTTCTGCTGCCGTGGTGGATAAGGCCAAGGCGGGGGAACACAGCATCGTCGACGTAGGTGGCTCTCCTCCTTCTGGTGGATGTGGGAGGCGTAGGCAGAGGAAGAGCGATGGGGAAGAAGGTTATAACACCGCCATGCCCGGGGACATCAATACGCGGTCGAAGAGGCGGCAGACAAGCCGCGGTGCTGACAACGCCGGTGGTGCGGAAGTTGGGACAACGCGAGGCACCAGGGAAGAAAGTGGCAAGGCGACGGGTCATGCATTGCGCAAGAAGGGCCGACCCGCAGCGAGGAGAACATCCGGCGGAAGGAGGGGCAAGAAAGATGAGGGGGATGCGGGGGATGAGGAGGAGGAGGCTGATGAGGAGGAGGATGCGGAGGAAGAGAAGGATGAAGAGGATGCGGAGGAGGAGGACGCGGATGTTGGGGAGGAATAAAAGGATGAGAATGATGACGAGGAGGACGAAGAGGAGGAGGAGGAGGAGGACGAGGAGGGGGCGACGAGGATGAGGAGGAGGAGGAGGAGGAGGAGGAGGAGGAGGAGGAGGAGGAGGAGGAGGAGGAAGAGGAAGAGGAGGAGGAGGAGGAGGAGGAGGAGGAGGAGGAGGATGTGGCGGCAGTGAAAGGACGGGGCGGGCGAGGCAGACGGGGGAGTGGTACAGGGAAGGTGGGGGGCCGGACTCGCCATTCCCGAAAACGCGGGGCGGGTGACGCCCCGGGTGGCGAAGCAGCGGGCAAACCGAAGACGCGTAAAGTGAAGGTCGAAAGCGAAGGAGTTGGTAAGAAGCAAGGGAGCCAGGGATCAAAAGGGGATGGTGAAGGAAAGGGCGGCCGCGCCAAAGGGGTTCCAGTGGGTTCCGGCAACAAAGAACCAGCCGGTAAACGTCGCAGCGGCCGCCAAAGCACCCCGCGGAAAGGTGGCAACGAGAAGGCGCAGGCAGCAAAAAAAACCGAAGGGACAGCTGAAAGGTAAGCACTGTGGCCCATACACATGGCGTGGCTGATGAACTCTCTGCTCAACCGTGCCAATTAACACATTTCTTCACATTGTTTCTCCCCTGCAAGGAAGGAGAAGGTCGACGAATCTGCAAAGCAAGGCAAGTCCTCTTATTACAAAACAGTACCCGTTATAACCCGATTTAGATTCAAACCGCTGATCGTACGCAAGCATGTGTGCCCCTGTATTGAAACTAATCGACTCTAATTTTGTGCTCCTGCTCCCTATAAATCTCAGCCCCTCGTGTTACAGGCATTGGGCCACTGGTAAACGTGCAACGGATGCAGCTAACGAAAGGGGACGGAAGAGCGAGTGTTACCCTGCTATCCACAGGAGCCCCAAGGTTCTACACGCCATACTCCGGCCCGTCTAAAGTCGCTGCCAGGGCACCCGGCGCACCAAGAGGAGAGGAATCCGAATCCCCTCCACCAGGCCACGTCACGCACTCCCCACTCGCCTCACCCTCATACCCATTTCGGCAGCTCCGCGCATCTCCTGTCTGGGGCAAGGCCGTCTCTGTCAAACTTATATGCTATAGTCTGTTTAGGCTGTAGTGGGGTAGTTCTTATAGGGTACAACACTTTTAGGTTTGCTACTTGTACCCACCTGCTTTCTAGTTCAATCATTCATTCGTTCCATATTCTAACATGGTATTCTTAGCAGGTTCCCTCGTGGGAACGTTTTTTTTAGGGCCCACCACGAACTTTTTCCTGCCTTGCCCAAAGCGCGCCTCGCGCCTGCCCTAGCTACGCAGTCGCCCGCCCTTCCCTAGCCGGCCCTTTCTCAGCCAGCCCATCCCGGCCTGTTCCTGGCCCGTCGCGGCCCCTTTGCCGCCCGTCGCGGCCCCTTTCCTGCCCGTCGCGGCCCCTTTGCCGCCCGTCGCGGCCTGTTCGCCGCCCGTCGCGGCCCCTATCCTGCCCGTCACGGCCTCTTTTGCCGCCCGTCGCGGCCTGTTCGCCGCCCGTCGCGGCCCCTTTGCCGCCTGTCGCGGCCTGTTCGCCGCCTGTCGCGGCCTCTGCCCAGCAGCCGCCCTGTCGCGGCCACTGCCCAGCACGTCGCCGCCCGTCGCGGCCTCTGCCCTGCAGCCGCCCCCTTTCGCGGCCACTGCCCTGCTGCCGCCCCAGTCGCGGCCCTGCCTTAGCCGCCCGTCGCGGCCTCTGCCCTGCAGCCGCCCCCTGTCGCGGCCCTGCCCTGCTGCCGCCCCTGTCGAGGCCCTGCGTTCGCCGCTGTCGCGGCCTCTGCCCTGCAGCCGCCCCTTTCGCGGCCCTGCTCTGCTGCCGCCCACTGTCGTGGCCTTGCCTTCGCCGCCCGTCGCGGCCCCTACCCTGCAGCCGCCCTCTGTCGCGGCCCTGCCCTGCAGCTGCCCCGATCGCGGCCCTGCCCTGCACCCGCCCCCGGTAAGCACCTGCACTGTCCTGCCGCGCCGCGCCGCCTGCTGCCGCGCCGCGCTGCCAGGAGCCGAGCCGCGCCGCCCTGCTGAGCAGCGCCGCCCAGCCGAGCCGCGCCGCCCAGCCGAGCCGCGCCGCACTGCCAAGCCGCGCTGCCCTTCTGCTTGCACTGCTTCTGCTGCCACTGCTGCTACTGCTACTACTGCTGCTACTGCTGCTACTGCTGCTACTGCTGCTACTGCTACTACTGCAGCTATGGCTAGCCCTACTGTTCTCACCTTTGATGCTGAGGGGCGTGCAGTTGACTTTGACGTGTGGGTTGACGACATGCAGCTCTTTCTTCAGTGTGACTCTAGGGATGGGGTATCCCTTTTCGATAACACGTCAGGTGTCTCTACTGCTCCTGCTGCCACTGCTGACAGTACAGTTCGCTCGCAGTGGACCACTCGTGACGCTATTGCTCGTCTTGCTGTTCGTAGTCACCTGCCGCCTGCTGAGCGCGCGCATTTTGGCCAGTACAAGACTGCTAAGTCTTTGTACGACGCTGTAGTTGCGCGCTACTCCTCCCCTGCCACTGCTGCCCTTAGCCGCCTCATGCTGCCGTACCTTTTCCCTGACCTTGCCGCCTTTGCCACAGTCGCTGACCTCATTGCTCAACTCCGCACTAGTGACGCCCGCTACCGTGCTGCCCTTCCCACTGAGTTCTGTGCCAAGAACCCACCCCCCATGTACATCACCCTCTACTACCTAGTCACCCGCCTCCCTGACTCCCTTTCTTCAGTCTGGGACCACTTTCTCTCCCTTTGCCCCACCGAGCTCACTGTCGACCTGCTAGAGGAGCGCGTCGCTGCAGCTGAGAAGAGTATCTTAGCTGTAGGTGCTTCTCGCGGCGACCGTCGCACCCCTTTCTTTGAGGGGTGTTCCCTTGTCCCCCTTCTCCCCTCTGTTGCTTCTACTGCTGCTGTTGACCTCGTTGGCACTGAGGAGGTCGGGGCTGCGTCTGCTCCTAGTGGGAGGCGCCACAACAGCAAGGGCAAGGGAAGCAAGGGTGGTGGAGGGGATGGCGGGGGCGGCGGTGGAGGCGGTGGAGGAGGCGGAGGGGGTGGCGGTGGAGGTGGGGGTGGTGTCGGGAGTGGGGGCTTCAGTGGTGGCGGTGGAGGTGGTGGAGGCAGCGGCGGAGGTGGTGGAGGCAGCGGCAGCGGTGGTGGAGGCAGCGGCAGCGGTGGCGGAGGTGGCGGTGGCGGCGGTGCTGGTCGAGGTGCAGTTGCGCAGCGTGGAGGCTTTGGTGGTAGCCAGCGCCAGCAGCAGCCGCGTTCCCGTGAGACTCCGTCGGCCCAGCAGCTTCGTGAGTGGTACGCTGGGCGTGGGAGGTCTGGGGGTGCTGGTCCCTGCACTTACGTTCTTCGCACCGGCAGTCGTCGTGGGGAGACGTGCGGGCTGCCACACACTGCGCAGCGCTGCTTCGGTCGCCTGACTGACGCCTGGCGCGCCCAGTTTCTTGACGCTGTTGAGCTCCCTCGCTAGGGTGATCTGCTTAGGCAGAATGTGGGTATCTTTGATCTTGATTTCGATGCTATCCTTGCTGCCATGCATGCTTTGACTGATAGTGCTGAGGGTGACTGTTACCTAAGTGTCCCGCCCAACCCGGGCATTGAGGCTGCTACTCTAGGTGCTAGTGCGTCTGCTGCTCCAGGTACTGGTGAGTCTGCTGCTCCAGGTGCTGGTGAGTCTGCTCTCTCTGGTACTGCACCTACTGAGGCCTTGCACACTTTCACACTTGACTCTGGTGCTTCGCGCTCTTTCTTTAGAGACAGCACCATGCTCACGCTGCTCAGTCGGCCTGTCGCAGTCTCCCTGGCTGACCCCTCTGGGGGCCCAGTCCTTGCGCACTCTTCCACCGTTCTACCGTGTCCTGCGGCCCCGTCGGGCTTGCTGTCGGGACTCCACCTCCCCTCGTTCTCTACGAACCTGGTGAGTGGAGCTGACCTCCAGGACGCGTGGGTTGACCAGTTCACCCCTGGAGGTTAGCGTGTGACCCACTGCACTTGCTCTCGGACGGGCCGCCACCTGGCCACGTTCACCCGTCGGCCTAGGTCGAGTCTCTACACACTGACTACTGCGCCTCCTCCGATCTCTGCGTCTGGTTAGGTAGCCGCGTCTACTCAGGTGTTTGCTGCCGCGTCCAGGTCTAGTCCAGCATCTGCCCCCTGCTCGTATCGTCCTCTGTCACACGAGACTCTCCTTTGGCACCACCGCCTTGGTCACCCCTCCCTACCTCGTCTTCGAGGTATGGCCTCCCGTACCCTTGTCTCTGGTCTCCCCCGGTCCCTCCCTCCTCTTCCTCCGGGGCCTGCCCCTACCTGTGTTCCTTGTGTTGAGGGCCGGCAGCGCGCCGCTCCTCACTCCTCCGAGTTCCCTCCGACAGAGGCTCCCCTGCAGACTCTCCACATGGACGTGTGGGGCCCAGCCCACGTCTGTGGACAGGGTCACGAGCGTTACTTCCTGCTGGTCGTTGACGACTTCTCGCGTTACACCACAGTCTTCCCCTTGCGCCGCACGGGTGAGGTCACTGAGGTGTTGATCGACTGGATCCACGGTGCGTGTCGCCAGCTCAGCGAGAGTTTCGGCTCGGACCTTCCTGTTCTGCGTCTGCACTCAGACAGAGGTGGTGAGTTTTCCTCCAACCTTCTGAGGGCCTTCTGTCGTGCGGAGGGCATCCGCCAGACGTTCACGCTTCCGGCCTCTCTACAGCAAAATGGGATTGCTGAGCGCCGCATTGGCATGGTCATGGATGTCGCTCGTACGTCCATGATCCATGTGGCTGCTCCCCATTTTCTGTGGCCGTTCGCGGTTCAGTACGCTGCGCATCAGCTCAACCTTCAGCCTCGTGTCTCCTTGCCGGAGACCATACCTACTCTGCGGTGGATGGGGAATGTTGGCGATGCGTCTGTGTTCCGTGTCTGGGGATCTCGAGCTTTTGTCCGCGATGCTTCCGCGGACAAGCTGTCCTCCCGTGCCATTCCCTGCGTCTTCCTTGGCTTCCCCCCTGACG